GTTTTTGTCCTGGTGGTAATCCGCTCACTCTCAATGCCCCAAACTCTAGTATAAGGTTTCAAAACAAGGCTGGATTATCACCACTTTTGAGAGTGAAAAATGTTAATAATGCCCAGCAGCCTGGTCTTTTGTTTGGAGTACAGTCTTTTGTTACAGGGCCCTGTTTCCTTTGTCCGAGTCGGAGACCCCGGCCACCCATATAAACTATACGTCTCTGATCCTGGAGTCCCCGGCAGGAAGTGGTTAAACTAAATGAAATTATTTTTACCACAGGCTCACTGTCCAAATTCCACCACTAGGTACAAAATCAAATTCCTTGTGTTAAACTTTCAAGGGGCATCTAGCCACATGTAATGTCCCACTGACAAAACACCTTTCTCTTTTCTGCAAAATCTGTGCTTAAAATTAAAAAAATGTGTGAACTGGGTAAATACACAGTGCATCTTGGTCTAGTTTTCATGACAGTTCACATTTCATTCTTTGATAGTAGTACACGTATTATGTACATGTATTATGTACAGTACATTACAGTACAATACATGTGAGAGGAACAAGTTCTGTTGACCCTGGCATTTTCAGTTATTTATCATCAACTAATTTTCACAATTGCTCTAATGGGTTTCTGGCTTCTTGCAAGGTACGCACAACATGGATGGAGTATGAGGTCCATATTTTCCACCCCTACATCTTGTATTGTGATTCAATCTACAAGTATCAACTGAAAACAGAGCATATTGACCGATGAAAACACAAATAGTGATGATTAATTGACTGGGCTTCATCAATGGCTATTTCGTCTTGAGTGTAGCAAGCTGCTACACTCACTCATGGTGGATTGGTGCTTTGTCATATAAAACTTGTTTCAGCTATGTTGTTATACGTGTACTATTATTAAAAAGTATTCAAAGTACCGGTTTTGAAATCAAAACTTTGGGAAAAAGGAAAGAAAGTAGAAGGAAGGATTAAAATAGAGTGATTGGAACCAATCAAATTCCTTATTAGTCGTATAGCGAAAGTCAAATTTTCCCTTTTTCAGACAAATCAACATGGCACATTTGTTAACATAATGTACATGTACATGTATTTTCTACCTCCTTTGAGTTGGACTGACACAAAAAATTCAATACAATTATTTATTCCAGTTGATACAGATTTTGGAATTTTCGGTATTTTCCTGTCCAGTCAATCATGTTGGTGCTGGTTCCACTGGGTTATCACAGCAGTGATATCTACATTGTCACGTGGGTCAGACGTGTACACGTCATTCTTTTCAGTATCAGCTTCTAACCTTGGCCTGGGCTGACCCATCTCTTGCTCCACTCCCATTACCATACTGCATGAATGAACTAGCACACATGCACAAATTTCTGGCTGAAAAAAATCTGCATACCCATGTGATCAAAGACTGCATTGTTTATTGGATAAGGTTGCTGGGCTAAGCACAGCTACATGTACCAAATTATATGTACATGTATATTATATGCATATTATGGCTGCTGTTTAACATGGCAACCCTCGTGGTATGAACTTGTGTGGCACTATCGGTGAAACATGTTTTGATTTTCTGTTGTACAGTACATGTATACACATGTATGTACATTTACATGTAGAATGAAAATAAAATGTTTGATCTTAGAAACACTGCAGTATCACTTTATGTCATGCTTTTTGGGCTGGGGTCGTGATATAGCTGGCGATCAATATGCAAAACATATCGTCTTCTTCGCTTAAGTTGGATTTTCGCCCAAGTCGGATAAGATTGGTCGGTCCCACTGGACTTATTTGAGGTTTACTATACTCCATCCAGAAGACACAGATCAGATTCATTCACTCGACATCAGCCTTACTCCTGAAATGTTAATACTAGTAAGTTCTTAGATTTACCATCATGATAACTTTGAATTACAAAAACTGTACAATACACAATTTACACCTCATACAAAGATTTTGACAAGAGACTAGTTTCCAAAAGAAATTTGAAAACAGATACCAAAAATAAAGTAGAGTAAGAAGGTTTTTTAATGTAAGATACTATTCTGGTGTGCTTGACTTATTTACTTTTATTGGTCATGCACAAATAGTGTACATGTAACGTAATAAAAAGAACAAGAAACATGATGCATGACTATTGGACTTGTTATGCTCATAAGATAATCTTTAAATAAGGAAATAAATATGTGCTTGACTGGTCTTCAACATGCATTTAAGACTGGCCGAGCACATATTTATTCCCACTCATAAATACCTTTTTAGTCAGAGTCAGAAGAAGTCAATATATGACGCATTTCCAACAATTTTAGTCTAGTATTTTGTACTTTCATTTTACCAAACACCCCCATCCATTTTATGGTATATTCCTTGAGCAAGTTATCCAACAGAATCTTTTTATGTGGACTTGGTGTGCACTTGCCGAGCCATGAGCACACAGACACGTGACCAATCAGAATCAATGAAACTCTCTGGTATCCAGGGCATTATCAAATGTTAAGTAGCACATTGTAGAATAGGGAGACTGCCTGAGGCTTAAAGCTACGGGCAATACCAGTACCACCTGCCAACACAGTGGATATCAAAGGCAGAGATGAAGTTATGTGTCAAAGTAATGTGCTTATATCGTAGTGTATTATATTCAAAGGTTCCTAATGCTTCTCAATGATTATCACTTTCTTTTGAGCTATGCAATCATTAAGCAGCAGTTCTACATGTACATCAACAGAGTTTTCTACAAGGGATTTTAGCAGGGTGGGCCGCCTTGCCAAAGTTCTGACCGCCCTGCAGTTTTTTCTATTGGATTTTCCCTATTTTCCACCGTCTTCACAGTTTATTTAAATGCAAAGAAGTTTACTGCACTTTATGAATTGAACACAAAGAGTTTGCCATCATTATTCAGCACAACTGAAAAGCACTTCGCACCATTAGTGCAGTGATCAAAGCCAGATGCAGTATACATATAGTACGAAAGCAAAGAACTGGACTGGTTCCAATCTCCTGGTCATAGCATTTTTATTTTGTAGCATAAAGAATCAAAACCTCAAATGCATTGTTTTTTCCTTGGAAAATACAGCCAATATCCTTCAGGTATTTCCGGATTTTTCATAGATCTGGATCACTTGAAATAAAACTTCTTTTCTTCTGCTTCTAAAACTACTTTTTACATGTTCTACATTCTCAAACAAGTATAGGTGAAATGTAAGCTTCTTGTACAGAAAACGTCTAGAAAAGAAATTTATTGCAAGCTAGATTTCCGTCTTGAACTTCAATATTTTGGAACGGTTTGTCAAAATTAATGACAGCCCAAAAATTGACCAAAAAATACAGGGTGATAAGTCATTCTGTATGTGTGATTCCAAATATTTGTTCCTTGCTTAACAGTCTTATAGATGTTTGCATCTAATGTAAGTTTAATCAAAATGGCTTTTGGAGTTTCCGGTTTTTTTTTTGTAAATTGGCCAAAAACTAAACGCATCCTAGTTGTGGATTACACCATAAGTGCACGCACGTACATTGCGAACTCAACGACACGGGTATAACAGAAATGTACATGTATTTGGCGTAATTGATTTGTCAACGGTGCAGCAAAGGGGATAGTCGCTGATTGCTCACTGTACAGCTAAAAAATCTTACACAAGTTTCACTCGTTAATTCCCTGAAATTGTTATTCATGAACTAATTTTCTTGAAATCAAGAAGTTCTTAATTAGAAAACCAGCTTACTACAATGGCTGTGGGTGACTTTTTACAAGAAAAAATTGGAACCAGTTAAACTGACGCTGAACTAGAAGTGTTGTCACTTTTGACAATCCCTTAAGTCCAGATTAAAAGTTTAGATTTTGAAACTAATTTTGTAGGAAATGTAGGATTTTAACACTGGAATATGACCATGGAGTTATTTTTAAGATCTGGAATTTAACAGGGAAACGACTGTGCATCATCCACTTGCGCTGCGCCCACATACATGTACATACATGAAATTCCAAACCATCCACTTGATGGTGAGTTCCGATCATTAAAAAAAGATGCCTTTTTAGAAATAAAATCAAGTTTTGATGACCTCCCGATAACAATCTTGACTTCATTTCAACACAAGCAAATTTGATTCAAGGAGTGCCCTGCAAATACCTCAGATTGCACCACAGAGTGTCTAGAATCCAAAATTTCCCAGGGCCCTTAAGCGGGCCCAGGACCCCATGCTGTAATGGCTTCATGCTCCGCACTCGCATCATGTGCCGCCCTGCTATAATTTCAGGCTGTGAAGATCACTGATCAGCAAATTCATTCTCCACCTTCATAGGTATCCGGTTGTACTTGTAAGTGGATATTGTTGCCTAACTGCCCATGAGCCAGACAGCAGAACTACTGGAATTCCCAATTTGAGTATTCATATCTAACGTGTGCTGGGATCACAACTTTTACAGCGTTTATACTTTCCAGCTAGTTAATGATTCAAACATTTTTGAAGAACCACTTTTCCATCAAAGAAGTGTCTTATCAATACAGTTATAAGCAGTACAGATGTCCTTACCACCTATTAGCCTAAAATGTCTATTTTCAAAGACTGAAAATATTACACAGCTACAATGTTCTCAAACAGAGCTCAACTTGACTAATCCCCAGTTACTCATACCTTGAAGTGAGTCTCCAGGTTCAACTGTACCCAGTGGAGATACAGTCTGACCTTGTTTGTCACCATCACCCATTGTTACCTCTGATCTTAGTAGAGGCTGGGTTTCCCTGGGTGTTGTTGGTGATGGATGAACTGAATTGACTGGGCCTAAATGCAAGACTTTGCCATTTGATGTTGGTGCTGAAGTTGATCGCTGAGCCAACGAGTCATTGGGCACAGTGAAAGGAGAAATGTCTGCTGATTGGTCTACCATGTTGCTTGTCATTGTCACAGATAAACCTCCCTTGTTGTCATGGTGATCTGAATCACTACTTGAAGAAAGTCGTGAATTTGAATCCTCAGTGTCGGAGAAGTTCTGCAATTAACAAGAATCACAACATTTACAGTATTTGATTACTTGTTTTAACCCCTTTGCACCGAACCATTGACAGCCACGGCTTTGTGTGAGGATTAGTGCATACCACACATACAGTCTATTCACCATGCAGCTGCTGGTTCAATGGGGCCTGCTGATGGACAAAGCCCTCCTTTCAGGGCATACCACAGCCCAGCAGTCACGGTCAAAAGAATTACCGGCGCGATGGGGTTAAGTACTCATTTAAAGCCCAACCACTTCCCACAATGAGGACAAACTATTAAACTACTGAAACCCATACAAGTTTGAAATATGGTTGGCCAACTAATCTTAAAGGGATAAGTAAAACATGCATATTTCAAGTTACATGTGACCCAAATAACTTTCAGGAAATAAGCAGAACTGTTGTAAAATGTCAAATCATCTACTCCCACAACCTACTGCTTTTATGTGGCTTTTACAGAGAATAGCCGCTTTCAGAATGGGTCTGAAATATTTTATGGTATGGACCTTTTCCATGGAATATGCAAATTAGACAGGTACATGCTTGCTACTACCGCTAGTTGGCAAGAGCAGCTGTCAAGACTGTCAGCTGTGTAGAACTGCTGTAACCATAACCTGGCACATTTAAGGTCTATCAACATCGTATTACAGCCCTTGCCGATACTTCTGCACACTTTTCTAAAAACTAAACGAAGTGTCCTGAAGTTGGAAAGTAACAATTCCTTGTCTTTAAATTATGTACTCATATCAAACTATATTAGTACAGAAATAGTGTGTATGTTAATACTTTCGCAAGCATGGAGATTTTTATCATTACATCAATGACTGATTTAAGCTACTTTGCCAACCAGTGGTAGTAACACTCATATACCTGCCTTATTTGCATATTTTATGGGAAAGGTCTCATTACCTGAGTTACAGAACAGCTTTTGCCTTTTTTATGCGAGGTCTCAAAGGAAGAAAAAAAGGAGATCAGTCGAGCTGGTTTTTTTTTGTCAGTGTTCTTGGTTCAAATCCAGACAGAATTTAGTTCTTTATTACTTCATTTCTTTTTCAAGTTCTCTGCTAGTAGAAAACATCAATTTTAAAAGGTTATTATATATACGTCCCAATTTGTTGCCATGAAGTATATGAAGTTCTTGGTCACGTAATACTATAATTTATTTTGCCCCCATTCCAAGCAGGGCCTACTCTTTGTAAAATCCTCATTTGCTGATAGCGGAGACTTAGTTGGACTGACTGGACAAATCTAATAAAAGGATTCAATTATTCCTCTTGAAAGAATTTTTCAGAAGTACATTGTAAAAACCAGAATTGTATCCAAGACCTTGAGATCTGAGACTAAGATCAAGGCATTCGAAACTGAGACCAAATCTGAGACCCACTCCAAGACTGAGAACATGACTTCCCAGAACGAGAACATGACTTCCCAGAACGAGACCAAGACCAACCACAAAACAATGTCTAGTTTTTTATACATGTACAACAGTAACGGGGACAAGCAAGATAAGACAATTATATATAACGGGTTTG